GCAAATTGACTGGTCCATTGAGAACAGATGGATTTTGGACTGGTCCATTGCCATTAATAAAATACTAAATATGGTTACACTGATGGACCCAATGGACCACCAATAGACCATCAATGGCCGCACATTTGCCAACCCTGTAATACAAGACTTACACCATTTACACGTTTGATTTTCCACCCAGATGATGATTCTTTACTTGACTATCTGAATGAAATTGGTAAAAATATAGAACTGAAATGGTATGCTCCAATCATCCCAATGGTTCTTGTTAATGGTGCAGAAGGGATAGGGACAGGTTGGAGTACTAGCATTCTCAACTTTAATCCAAAAGATATCATTCAAAATTTAAAAAGAAAGATCAGAGGAGAAAAAATGGTTCCTATGCACTAAAGACTAGTGCTGTAATCCAAAAAAGGAAAAAGTATGGTTGCAAAAGTGGTTGCAAAGGTGATTGCAACCACTTTTTATATGCCGTAAATATAATTCCTACCATCATCATAATTTACAGCACTAGTCTTTACTATGCACCCTTGGTATCATAAATGTTGTGGAGAAATAAAACAAGTTGATAAGAATAAATATGTATCATATGGCAAAATTTCTAAAATAAATAATACACATGTACTCATCAGAATTACCAGTCAAAAACTATAAGGAAAAAGTTCTTATGAATTTTAAGGAAAAAAATTAAGTGTATTTCTAGAAAGTCTATCTTGAAGTAGAATTAAGTTCTGAACAAATGCAAAATGCTGAAGATGTTGGATTTGAAAATTTTTTTAAATTAACAACCTCAATCAAGGTTGAGTGACGAAATGTCTCCTTTTCATCGCATGGCAAATATAAATGTGATGAAATAGGGTTTTTACACTTTGAGTAATTTGACAAAAGTGACGAAATCAACAAAACAATAAAATAAACCAATTATTTTGGAGATTTTAAATTATGGAGTAAATAAAATTCATGATGTCAAATTCTAATTCACCCAATTCACCAATTCCTTCTCAATCATCATCATATAATATGAATTTGCAAACATTGAAATTAGATATACCTGAAAGTTCATTTAACAATAATCAAGAATTAGCTACAGGACATCCTGTGTTTTGATGTATGGTTACATTCCATTAAATAGTAAATGAAGAATCATTTCAACAATTAGAATTATCAGATGATTCTACAGATTTTGAAACCAGCAATAGATATGAAGCAGCAATTCCTACTAAAATTTTGCATACAAAAATTAAGGGTCTGGGACACTTTACTGACACCCACTTTACCGACAGGACACTTTACCAACACCCACTTTACTGACAAGACACTTTGCCAACAGGACACTTTGCTGACAGGACACTTCACTGACAGGACACTTTACCAACAGGAAACTTTACCAACAGGACACTTCACTGACAGGACACTTTACCGACAATCTAAGTAAAGTCGAACTTGACATATAAATGATCTTGCAAGGAGCACTAAAGTAGTTCAGTATGGAATGTAAGCATAAAACTCCAAATAAATTATTTACAATGGTGGCTATTGATTCTAGAACTATTATAATCATT